CTTGCTGGCTTTCTCCCTCCTCCTAATCCCCGGCCAGCCTTCCATCCCTCCCATGCCCATCCCTCCCTCTACAGTGGTGGAGCACAGGCTCCCTTCTCGGCTCTGTGGCATCTGGATCACAGTGGCGGTGATGGCCAGGGCTTTTGCCACTCCTTCCGCTGCAGCAGCACTAGCAGAGCAGCCAAGCAACCTGCACCAGGATTGCTGTGCCGGGAAGCTGGAATCCACTATGGACTTTGCTTCTGCTAGCCTCCCCAAGCAGCAGCAGGGCAGCCATTGCTACAGCTGCCTCTAGACACAAAATCACAGACACCAGGAGGGGGAAAGTCAGGGAAAGGAACCTACCCATGTTTAAACAGAGGACATTTTTGGACAGAAGGTTGAAAGAGAGGACTGTGTCCTGGAAAAGGCAGAAGCAGCTGAAGCGCAGTCCTCCTAGGGTGGCTTCCAGTCCCTTCCCTGCTTCCCTCCAGCTGCTGGGTCCTCTTCTTCCCTGCCTCAGAGGCTGCTCTTCCCACTGCACCTTGGCCCCAGTGGGTCTCCACTTGCCTCTCTGCCTGGTAATGAATCAGATCTGTCATTCACACTTCTTGAACACTCTTACGAATCACTTCTTTTTCAAAAGAACCACCCAAAACCAAGTGTTTGAAAAGAGTGCTTTTTTTTTTACATTTGTCTCACTTCAAAGTGAGTCCAAGCAATCACAGTTGTACCTGAAACCATTTCAATTGTGAACAAGGCACATATAAAGTGATCAGCAATTTACTTCAAATCATAGTGGGAATGAGCCTGAGCTCTCCTTTATGTCCCATCAGTCAGGGCAGTATGCTGCAGGAGGATACAAGAAAGGGTCTTCTCTCCTGAGGCTCCCTGTTTGTGGAATACCATTCCCTTAGCATGCCAATCCTAGTGTCATTCCAGCACCACATAAGAAACAACATTTTACTAAACCTTTGGGAACTAACTGATGTTATACAAGTCTGCAGAAGAGCATGGTTTTAAATTATTTGAATCTCTTAACTAGTTTTAAACTGTCTTATTTTAATTTGTTAAATTGTTGAATAAGTTCTTGGTTTGTCTAAATTGTCATTCATTGTTTTAAATTTGTTGAGTTGATTTTATTGTGCAGCATCCCAAGATCTTTTTATATAGGGTGAGATAGTTTTTTAAAAAATTAAAAAAATGAATATGTGAAACAATGTACATTTAAATAAACTAAAGTTACCACCTCCTGTTAAAAGATATCTTTAATTTATTTCATACTTTGTTATATTAACATACTAGAGCAAAAACAGAGCCATAAATTAACATGCCTTTGCTGCCCCACTGAATAAAGAGTGGTCTATTAAACATGGCATGTGTCTTAAGCCAAAAGCTCCAATCCTATGCAAATCCATATTGTAGAAAATCCATTTGATCTCTGTGGGACTTCTGTATAAACATAAGTAAAACTGAGCTGTTCCTGGCCCTAATATATAAATATGGATTGTTCTCAGGTTTGTCCCATGGAGTTATTATGCGTGATTACATACCTAAACAAAAATTATTAAACCAAACGTGCTCTCCCAGCCATAAAATACAGCCACAGAAACCATCAAGGCAAAACTGTCTGACATGAGTAAGCATATGATCTCAACATCTTAAATCACCATTTCCTTGCATTGCACTTATTTATGACCTCACTTTGTTGTGTTATTCCTAAATTTAAGCTGGATGGGCCATACATTTGTCTTTTTGATTTAAAAGAGCGTAGCCATTTTGGAGAACTAGCGAACATTTAATAAAGGCAGCAGTGCGTATGGTTCTCCCCCAACCCAGCCCTCCCTTCTTGGCTTTGATGTATATAAATCAAGATATAAGATGTTTGATTTGATCCTGGAAGGTGCTGCTCTGTTTCTGCTGAAATGAATGAAAACTGGGAGTGCTCAGCAGCCTCTCTCTCAGATTCAAGCCCGTTGATAGGCATAGTGATGCTATTTGATGTATTGTTTGAACACAAGAAGCTTATTTCTATTCCAGTCCAATTACTAAAGCAGATGGGGAATGTAAAGCAAAGAAAGGATATGTACCTGAAGCAAGAGCTCAGGCATTCAGATGTCTTACTTTGCACACAATTACTTCAGGAGAGTCAAGAGGGGATGTCGCGGCCCTCAAGTATATACTCTTGTGGGCTCTGCTCTTTTTACAGATGATTCTTGAGGCATTCCTCGAAAGTAATCAAAACATGGCATTTTCCTTTCTTGTACTGTAAGATACCACATTTATTTAAATATGTGTCAGGCTCTGTTGAGAACTGAGACAGGAACTTAAGCCACTAGGATTCCATTATTAGACGAAGAGCCATTCTTCCTGAGGAAGCAGTGAAGTATTGCCAGACAGACAATAGTTTTCTCTCAATCTTCATTCCTTGAGGTAAGATTCAAAGCTTAAGCCTAACTTCAGAGGCACAAAATTCTTTTGTGAGCCTCCTGCATACAGCACAGACTGTCAGGCTCTGTAACAATACTTCTAGGCTTCACCTAACAGTAAGGATTTCACAGATATGGTATACATCTTCCCAGACTACGTGAGGGAGCAGGGAGGGCGGTTAGATCTTCTTCCTGAAAGGCAGCCTTAAGAAGCAGATTTGCAGTAGCCCTGGGCTTTCCAAACTGTATTTTAGATTGCAATACAGAAAAAGTGGTGGATACACATAGAGAACGGCAAAACTGGGAACTACATGAGGAGGAGGGAGTTATCCTATTCAGCAATGACATTACACTGAGGAAAAATAATAATTGTCTATCATGCTTGAGAATGTTTATACCAATTTATCTCGCTGTAGCTGGATGTGGTATCCAGATTGATGACAAGGTATATGAAAACACAAAAAGAAATATTCTGAACAGTGAGCGGATGACCCAAGAGGGAGAGGAAGAAAGGAAGGAAGGAAGGACGGAAGGACAAGGGGAAGAGGTCATGAAAGCAATTCTATGGCTGGAATCCTGTTGGTGACATATGGTGACATAAGCATGTATTACACCAGCATGTTTCTTTTTAAGCAATTTTAGAAGGAAATGTCCTGTACCTCCTTCATGCAACAACTGCCAGAGTGTAACTATGTAGCCTTTAGTGGCCATCAGAAGGGTGTACTCAGGCTATCTTTCTGCAGACAGGCTGTACACAAAGAGCAAAATACTATTCATGGTACATGCTCACTTTAAATGTGTGCATGTTTTGAACAAGGCCAGAGAGGCAATTCTCTAGCTCCTTGCATCCTACCCAACACTCTCCGTCAGCTGCCAAGCCCACTGCCAAGCTACTATGGGGGCCAAGAGTGGCATCACTAGGTTTGGTGTCATCTAGTGTGGTAACTCATAGTGTCACCTCTCACAATGACCTCCTCCCATACCACACTATACAGAACCCTTAGTAATGTTTTTTGTACTAATGTCACTCACTAATCGTAATTCCTGTATATTACTGAATGTAATGGTAATAACTGTAACATAAACAACTTTGTTTGTTTTTGTGCCTTTAAATTGTTTACAACTTTTGGTGACCCTAAGGGGGTTTCTTGGCAAGATTTGTTCAGAGGAGGTTTGCTATTGCCTTCCTCTGAGGCTGAGAGAATGTGACTTGCCCAAGTCACCCAGTGGATTTCATGGCCATGCTGATAACCAAACCCAGGTCTCCAGAGTTGCAGTCCAGCACTCAACCTGTTTTGTCACAATGGCTCTCTAAATAACTAGCAAAATTAAAATTATACCTTTAAATCACAATATCATATGCACAGCCTAAATGCATTTACATATACATAGTTTCATGTGGTTGAAATGAAAATTTGGTAAAATGTGATGTTTTTTAAAGATTTTTTAAAATTAAAAATATATTTAAAAAAAATAAAATTTTAAATTTAAAAACTGGGGCCTCTCCATTCTCCTTCCACTAAGACTAATCCCACATACCCCATCTTTTCAGGGACACAAGTGAATGCCACAGTCCATTTCTGCCTAAAGGCAAATGTTTAAGGAGCAGTTGTATCACCCTTTCTTAAGGTGCCATCTTGTGCAGCCCACACACCCTGCACCCTCTAGTGACGCCGCTGGGGGGCAGTGGGTAGGCGAGGAGAAGGGATAAATTGCCAGGTCAGGATGATCCCAGGCTCTGAGATATCAAGGTCCAGACCTGAGACCAAGGGACACCCCCTTAGGTTGTCACAGAAATGAGCCCTGGTGATGGCATTAATTATGATACATTAAACAGCATTCTCGGTTGCATAGAGTATAAACAGAGATAGACATTTTTCAAGGGAGTGCTGTTGCTCTGAGGTTGAAGCCCCTCACTCTGATGACTAGAGAATAGGGACTAGACCCTGATTATGTGTTGGTTGGAGAATTCCTCCTCTACCCTCAGCTACCCTCTCAAAATTTGTTCCAAGGAGCTAGAATACTCACAAGGGCAAAATCTTTGCAGGGAGCAAGCAGTTGCAGAACAAGAGAGTCAACATTAGCAACACAATGCACAAAGAGTTGAATTAACTATCCCTTGCTTCTTCTATTGCCTATTAGGCTGTCGTAAGAGAATTAGGTGCACTTCTTCATTAACTCCTCAGCTTTTCCTGTTTTCACGTTCACAAGATCCACTATGCAAATTTACCAGGGGCAGCAACCTAAGATAGATATAGGGCTGAATCCTAATGTTAGCTCCAACTAAAGTACACTCATTTAATCAATGGGATTTGTCTGTGTGCTAAGTCACCATCAAACACTTGAGTCAGCTAGTCTACTCTAGGTGGGAAGAACCAACAAAATTCAGGCTGCAGAGATTTCAGAGAAATGGTGACAATAATGAGGTGGTGGTGGTAATTTCTGTGTGTCTTCAAGTTGCTTCCAACTTATGGTGACCCTAGGGTGAAAATATCATGAGGTTTGGCAACACTTGTTCCGAGGGGGTTTACTTTTGCCTTCCTCTGAAATGGAGAAAATGTGACTTATCCAAGGTTATCCAGATGGATTGCATGGTTGAGCGGGGATTTGAACCATGGTCTCTGGAGTTGTAGTCTATCACTCAAACCACTACACCACACTGGCTCTCAATAATGAGTTTCCTTGCTGAGTATGCAAGATCCTTATGTGTCATCACTACTCCTTTGCACACACTGCCTCTTGTACTTTGCTGGAATAGCTAGGATGCAAATGGCATAAATTCTCAATTCTTCCCCTGCTCCATTTTTTTCCTTTCTGAATGTTTGTCATTTTAAAACCCAATATGTTACTGCTTCCAGGAAACAACAGGTGTCCCATTTTATAGCTGCTTTTCATGTTTAGAAACACAAATTGGTAGGCTAATGCACAAATGATCTCTTTGGCATTCAGAAAACAGTGAGATGTCAATGTAGTGATTGTTTAGTTCTTATTAAATATTTTACTACTCTAGGGATCCCTGTAAAAGTTAAAATCTAGAATTGTAGCTTGTTCCTGGCAGGATATGGAATGTGAACCTAAAACTAAACCTGTGAACGGCTTCAGAAAGAGTCTCTTCCTCTGGTCCATGAACCAGAATTGAAGCACAATCTAATCTCTCAGTTGCTTTATTGAACCTCAGAAATACTATTTTTTTACCATGTAAATTTCTATAAATTCAATCTATAGATCAATCGTTACAAATTGCAATTAATCAGCTAGAATCAATGTTGCAAAGCTTTTGAAGCTCCATTGGCTTCTTCATCAGGCAAAGGTGTTAAAAATCGTATGGGGGTGCAGATAATGTTAGTCACAGGCCTGCATTTTGTCAAAATGTTGTGGTGGTTGTTCTCAGGTCAATAATATAGAGGAGAATTCTTGCAGGCCAGACTTTGAGAATTTCCCATTACCCACATGGCCAGAAGGAGTAAGGGCCTGCCTATATGAATACCCCAGCAGTAGTTTGCTTTTGCCTGAACTTACTGAGAAGGGCAACATTCAGCCATCCTCCTCTCCTCTCTCTACTGCCAAGGCAATTGAATTGAGTTTTGCACTTTGATCTCAGTTTGCAGAAGTTAGCTGAGGACAAAAGCAAAAAATGGAAGGAGAGAAAAACTGGGGACATTTGGAAAGAAGCTGAAAAATTGGGGCAACAGGACTGTCCTTGTCAGATTGGGCAAGGACTTCTAGTTTCCAGAAATGATTTCCTTTGTTCCAGTATTGGAAATGCCAGTTTCTTGCCCAACTGACTGAAGACCCATCTGGAGGTATAAAAGCAATAAAATATTTGACAGTGCAGATTCAGGGCACTAGAAGCTGTGTCAAAGTTTCACCTGAAGGGACATGAGAACATCTTCTTTGCTTATATTTTTTGTTTCTGTATTCTCTTCCATCTTACTTCGAACCTGAATTAAGCAGGACATGAGTGGACCAGACACTCCACATCAAAAAAAGATGGTCTTTCAGCTATCCTGGACTCAAGCCATTTAAGATTTTGTAGGTCAAAACTACCATCTTGACTGAGATCAGGAAAGAAATTAGAACATTTGGTACAAGATCTCTAAATTACATACTGGACAGCAGTCTGTCCATTACATTTTACACTAGCTATCACTTTTGAAAACTCTTTAAAAAAAACGCCCAAGTAGACCATATTATAGTAGTCTAGCCAGGAAACAATTAAGACATGAACTACCATCTCCATTTCTGAGGACACAACTGACACAACAAAAGGTCTTTATTAGTTTAGTGGCCAGACTAATCTTGGCAATACTGCTTCTTCTTTTTTTTCTTTTCTTTTCTTTTTTTTTTTTTTTTTTTTTTTTTTTTTTTTTTTTTTTTTTTTTTTTTTTTTTTTTTTTTTTTTTTTGTTGAGGGAGGGAACAGTAAGTGGGCAATATATTTAGTTGAACTAGAAGGTACAGAAAGCCAGTTATTGTATTTATTATTGTGTGTTTATATGTGCCTTTAAGTTGCCTGTTGACATATGGCAACCCCATGAATTTCATAGAATTTCCTTAGGTAAGGAATTCTCAGAGGTGGTTTTGCCAGTTCCTTCCTCTCAAATATAGCCTATTGCACCTTCTATTTGCTGGTGGTCTTCCATCCAAGTACTAACTTAAGGCCTAAGCAGACTGCCAGAAATAGTGCACATTAAATTGAGGCACTGCCCTGGCTCAGTGCTAGGGAATCATGGGAACTGTATTTTTTTCTGGGACATTGAGCCTTCTCTGTGAGAGAGCTCTGGTGCCACAATAAATTACAGTTCCCATGATTCCCTAGCACTGAGCCAGGGCAGTGCCTCAATTTAATGTGCACTATTTCTGGCAGTCTGCTTAGGCCCTAAGCTACCCTACTTAGCTCCCAAGAACAGATGAGATCCAGTGTCTTTGGGATATTTAGGCCCTGATATTGTCTGAAAAGAAATGGGTGATAGGTGCGGCCTGAATAGTATTTGCAAAATACTGGAAATATGGAAATAAATAATAGAAGAATGGATTATAAAAGTAAATGAACTAATGTCAATGGATAAATTAATAATGATGATTAATGGGAAATCGAAAAAACAATATTCTTAGAAATAGGAAAAGATTAAAGAATTATGGAAATAAGCTGCAATATATAAACTATAACTAAATTCCAAGAAAGGATTGATTTTCAAATTATTTTAGGATTTGTTACATTTCTTTTGTTGGTTATAAGTAATATGTGCCTCTTCCTATCCAGTACTATGTACGGCTGACACCATATATATACAAAGATTGTTAAATATGGAATGTTTATTATATATACTCCTTGGCTTCAGTAATAAGATGGAAAACATATTTTTAAATAAATAAATAAATAAATATAAATAAAAAAAGAAATTGATGATAGGAACAAAACCAGAACCATGAATGCAACTGTCCAATGACTAGTGCACAAGGATAAAGAAAACTACTATAATAACCAATACAGAGAAACAGAAGACAACAACAACAACAAAGGAATAATGAGAGACCTCTTCCTCAAGACCCAGGAACTCAAACAAAAGTTCAGACCAAGAGCAGGAATGCTCTATGATCAGAAGAGGAACATACTACAAGATCAGGAAGAAATGAAAAGAGGATGGTAGCAAAGAAGAGCTTTATAAAAGAGAAGAAGAAATGTAAACACAGAATGAAGAATCATGGACCCCAGATCCACAAAAAGAGAGATTCAAAAGACTGCAGCAACTATAGGACTATAGCATATCACACACAAGCAAAAATTATGCTCAAAATTCTGCAGTGTAGACTTCAATAAAATATGAAGAGAGAAATCCCAGAGATGCAAGCAGAGTTGAGAAAAGCAACAGGCATTGGGACTCATATTGCAAACATATGATGGTTAATGGAGTGCACCAAGAAAGTCCAAAAGAAAATCAGCAAAGCTTTTGACTGTATAGATCACCAAAAACACTCTTAAAGCCATGGGAGTGCTGCTACATTTGATAGTCCTGATATGTAACCTGTACTCAGGACAAGAGGCCACTATTAGGACAGAATATGGAGAAATAGAATGCTTCCCAATTGGCAAAGGGGTCAGGCAAAGATGCATTCTATCGCTTTACCTTTTCAACTTGTATACATCAAATATCATACAAAGAGCAGGTTTAGACTCAGAAGAAGGAGGAGTGAAGATAGGAAGAAGGAACATCAACAATCTAAGATGCGCCATATTACTAGCAAAAAGCATCACATACTTGGAACAGTTAATAAGGAAGGTAAAAGAAGAAAGTGCAAAGGCAGGCTTCATGCTGAACATAAAGAAAACAAACATAATGACCATGGAGGATCTATGTAAGTTCAACTTAGATAATTAGGAAATAAAAATAGTTAGAGTTCCTTGGATCAAACATTGATCAGAGTGGAGATTTCAATCAAGAAATAAGAAAAAGACTAGGAATGGGAAGGGCAACCATAAAAGAACTAGACAAGATCCTAAAGTGTAAAGATATACACCTGAGCACTAAAGTCAGAATCATCCAATCCATTGTATTCCCCATCACCGTGTATGAATGGGAGAGCTGGACAGTGAAGAAAGCCAATAGAAAGATGATCAACTCTTTTGAGATGTGCTGGAGAAGAGTGTTGAGGATATTGTGAATGGCCAAAAATACAAACAAATGGATCAGCTCAAGCCTGAACTCTCCTTGGAAGCCAAGATGACAAAACTGAGGCTGTCATATTTTGGCCACATTGTGCGAAAGCACCTACCCACTCACTAGAAAATACAATAATGCTGGGGAAGGTAGAAGGCAGTAGAAAGAGAGGAAGATACCAGATGGCTAGACTCAATCAGGGATCTCACAAGTCTAAACCTATATAACTTCAGCAGAGAGGTCGCAAATAGGGGATCTTGGAGATGCCTCATCCACAGGGTCACCATAAGTAGTGGTTGATAAGGGCAATTAACAGCAGCAACTATCTCTGCCTTGAATCCCATTTTGGGGGGAAAGTAGGATATAAATCCCTTAAATAAATAAATAAATAAATATTAAATAAACACATACATATGTACTCCACCCTTCCACCTCTAAACAGGTGAAACCTATGGAATTTGGAAATCCACAAAGAACAAACCCATAATCATTCAAATCAGTGATTCCCAAAGTAGGCAGTACACCCCCAAGGGGGTGGTGGAAAGATCCAGGGGATGATGAAGTGGAAAGGGGCCAGTATGAGGGCTTTCAGTCAAAGTATGCAAGAAAGGTGAGAGGAACCAATAGCCTTTAGGACCATGCAGAGGATGAGGGTTGCATGAAAATTCCTTTCAGGATCCCTTAAAACCACAACGCACTCTTGCTGATCATTTTGTGTGGTGGTATCTCCTGCTCTTCGCCTGCCCATGCAAGCTCACTCCCTCAGCTGTGTGGTGGCAGGGCAGTTGGAAAATCCTTGTGAGGCTTGGGCATAGGATATCATTTTTATGGCTCAGAGCAGCATCATTTTGGGACTAACTGACTGACTGAAGCAAAGAGTTAGATCACATGGCAGTGGGGGGAAAGCAGCAGCAAAAATTAACTTCCAGATTTGGGAACCTTCTTAAGTTTTGTGAGCTTTGCTTGGACTTGGCTGGCAGGTTGGAGCTGCTCTGCTGCTCCTCTT